AGAGCTGGATTGGGGAATATGAAATTGTCAGGGAGGAAAAATTCTTCCCCTACACATTTTGGTTCATTGTTTGAGCTCCTGCAAATTACAATAACAAAAGACAGAGTAATAGGAGAAAAATAGAAGTTTACCAGGTGTGCATTGTGTCTAGACATAGGGGAAATTCAGAGATGAGCACCTCAAAGGTGTGGTTAGAATGGGGGGGGGGGAGCATATACAGCATCTTAGCAAAGAACAATAACTTTGTAGAAAAATGACATGACAAAGAAAAAAAACTTTGGGCTTCTACGGATGGCAAATTGTGGAAATATAGAAGTGCAAATATAGGAGACTAACAGTACATAAGGACTAGACAGTAAGGCTTGATTGATTGTATAGACTATTGGTGCTATTGTGTCTCTGATAAAGTAACAAGGTTGCTGTCCTTTTCCTGGTTCAGGAAGTGTGTATGCTGGGGGCACCTCTGCAGGGGGACTTCATGTTCTGTTTTTAGAAATTTAGGAGAAGCACAGAGAATTTACCCTGTAACCACTTTTTCCAATTGTTTAAAGTTAGTTTAAAATAATCATTATATTGGGAACCAGCAGTTAGCGTAATGGCTATGTCGCTGGACTCCCACGTAGTCGACCGCGGTTCGTGTCCTGGACCCGGTGGCTTAAAACTCACGCCGGGCGCGTGTGCGTGCGTGCCTAAGATCCCGAGAGGAGAATGGAGGAGAAGGAATTGCGGCGTGACCATCCGCCCTGGGGGGTGATTTCTCGCTTTCTGTCTCTATGTCTCTCTCTGTCTGTCTGGCGAGCGCATGCGCCCTACAGTGAAAATCTCTCCAAAAAAAAAAAAATAATCATTATATCAGAGTAGCATATTTTGGGGTGACATATTCTGAATCCCTTCAAGCTGGATCACCTGTCCCCAAATTCCTTCCTGAGATTTCCTTGTCATCCCCAAACACGTGCTTGAAATTCTACCATTACAGATTCATTTCTCTGGGACCTGATAGTGGTGGTAAGCTACCAGCTACCAAAACTTGTTGAGTTTCCTAATTGCACTAGCTGGGATTCTTCTTATAGATGATAGCATATTTAGCATGGTCTTAGACAACATCATGCTTTGTTGACTTAATAATTTAAAATTTCAGAGAGTCTGGCCATTTTCAGGCATGGTTTGATCCAGGTGTTTACAATGTCAGCATTTTCGTATGAGTCCCTTGGCTCTGTTCTACTCCTGGGTTGATCTGTTCCTCTGGTGATCTCACACATACACACACACACACACACACACACACACACACATGGCAACTCCACAGTCCCTTCTCCATTCTCCTTGGATTTTGGGACGTGTACACACAAATGCACTGTGTTGGGGGTTTTTTTGGTTTTTGGTTTTTGGGGGTTTTTTTGGGGGGGGATTTTTGCTATAGGGCACATGTGCTCACCAGAGACAGAAAGCAAGAAATCACCCCCAAGGGAGAATTGCCACGCCATAATTTCTCTTCCTCAATTATTGTCTCAGTAGTACCACTGGACACATATAGCTTTTCTCTAAGACATTCCTGCAGAAATTAAGGAAGTGTTTCTGGAGAATCCCACAGCAAACATCTCACAACACATTGACCCAAATTGGAGTACATGTTCCCCTCACTTTTCTCCCCCAACATATCACAATGGCCCAGGTGATGGGATATGCTGATTCACGCAGAGCCCTCACAGCCCACCCTAGCATCCAGTGTAAAGTCACCACATCCAAACAACATAGAAACGATGGGTAGGAGCAGCAGCCCAGAGCAAGGTCTGGGTGCTGAGGGCTAGGAGGACAGGGGCAAGTATGTGGTGAATGTCCAACTTCCATGGAGAATCTGTTACACTGGGCAGTGTCACCACGTTATCACATAGCTCAGAAGTCAGCATACTATGGTCTTTGGGCCAGAGCCTATGTTTTTGTAGCTAGTTTTATTGGAACACAGTTCAGATGTGGGTTTTTGCATATTGTTTATAGTGGCTTTTGTGTTACAACAGTAGAGTTGAGTAGTTGTGACAGAGACCTTATGATCCACAAAATGTAAAATACTTACCATCTAGCTCTTTAGACAAAGAGGTTGCCTGCCTCTGATATGAAATAGCAGAGCATAGAGGGGAATCAGACATTATCTGCTCCTATTTCTTTCCTTATACAGGCACAAACTACTCCAGAAAATGACAGCCTAGACCAAAAGTGAGGTCCTGGTTTACTGCTAGATGCAGGGCTAGCACTCCCTGGTTTTTTCATGAGCCAGCATCTTGGCTGTGAATGTTGTCCAGAAGGTTGATGACCTAGATCCAGGGAGGAAAGTGACCAGGGGTATCTAGAAGAAGATTTAGGAAATCCACAAGGCACCAAGGGCAGATCTCATTGTCACTGCCCTCCCCAGAGGAAGCTGACCCTCAAGCAGCCTCTGGTAGAGTGTCCAGGCCCAGTCTGGGAGGCTGTGAAGGTGGCCAGATATTTCTAGTCACCTTACAGACCTGACTCCCCAGGACAGAGACAGCTTCTGCTCAGCCCTGGGCCCAAGTCCTACTTTAGCTCCTCCAGTGGCTGCCCAGGGCAGGGGATCAGAGCTGGCATTTTATGCCCTTGTTTGCAAACATTCAGCAGTGCACAGCATGAGTGAGCCCAGGGCTACAGTCTTGCAGCAGTTCCTTTACTTGGATACAGCATTTCCTGTGACTGCAACCCATGGGTGAGGCAGGATTCCTCCATAGCAACCTTGACTAACATGTAGGAAGCATTTTCCTGTGCCAGTTGCTAATCTAGCCCTTTACCTGGATTCACTATTTCTCACAACACCACCATGACAGAGGTATGGACACAGCCCCAATGGAGCATAAAAATGAAGTAACTTGGGGGCCGGTAGGTGGCATGGTGGTTAAGGGTGCTGGATTCCCACATGGCTGACCATGGTTCAAGTCTTGGACCTGGCTGTTTGCTTTCTCACTTTCCCTTTCTCTCTCTCTCTCTCTCTCTCTCTCTCTGGTTGAATTAAGAAAAAGAAAAAATAATAACAAAGGGAATTAAATAAATCTTTGAAAAAAAAAATAAGTAACTTGGGGCCAACTGGTAGCTTAGTGGTTATGGTGCTAGACTTCCACATGGTTGACCATGGTTCAAGTCCTGGACCCAACAGCTTGAAACTCATGCCAGGTACCTGTGTGTGTGCCCAAAATCCCAAGAGAAGAACGGAGAATGGATTTCTGTGTGGCCATCCTCTCTAGGGGGTGATTTCTTACTTTCTCTCTATCTCTTTCTCTCTCTGGTGAGTGCACATGCTCTATAGCAAAAAATCTCTCTCTCAAAAAAAAAAAAATGAAATCTGTGTGTCCCAGATCACACAGTTTATCTCAGTCATCTGAGAACTAGATGCTAAGATTTATTGGGGTTTATTGGAAGTATACCTATGAAAAGTCTAAAAGGGGAAGGAAGTGGGAATAGGCAAGGAAAGCCTAAAATGAGAACCTGAAACGTGGGGAAGGAAAAGAGACAGGGAAGCCTCAGACCACCACACAGTTGGTACAGCAAGCCCAAAGGGTAAGTGTCCAGCACTGGGCAGAAACGGCCAGGCCCTAGGACCCCTGCTGTGCTCAGTCATTGGCTGGGGCTGACTGGGAGGACCTGGTCTTGGCTCTAGAGCTGAAGTAGACACCGTAAGTGTTAATGAGAGTCTCCTTGCATTGGAACAACTACTTTCATCTTAAAGGGGGATCTGAGTGGCACCCCTCCACACCAGCACCACAGGTGGAAAATCATTCTGTTGGGAAGATGATCAGGTGTACTTAACCCCTTGGCCTTATCCCTTGATGTAGAATGTGGTGGGGTATGAGGAATGCTCATACTGAGTGTTCTGGATTTGCCACCCCACCAGCTATGTGTCTTTGGGCAAGTCACTCTACTCATGTTCATTCATTCATTCACTCATTCACTACTAAACCACTTATTGAGCATGGAGGTCAGCCCATGCTTTGGTGGTATCAAGACCTGTGATAAACCTTGAGAATGCAATGCTGTCACAGTCTCACAGAGCATTCCATGTGGTAGTGAAGGACCACAGTGCCCACAGCAACACTGAACAATGGAATAGGGGCAGTGATGGAGGATATCATCCCAGAGAACAGAGATGTGGGTGCTATCATGAGCCTTGACTTCTTCATCTGAAAAAGAAAGTGGTTGGACTCAAGAATCTCTAAGCCCCTCTTCCATTCTACAAAGTCAGGCTGAATCTAGCAAATCATAAGGTCTGCTCCATCAGATTGAGAGTCTGAAGCTAGGGTGTAGTGTACCCAAGAACCTACCAGGGCCTGTGCAAGCCTAGACACAGGCACTGTGGCCCCATCTGCATCCTGCCCAGGTACCTGCTCCATCTCCGAGCTGTCTCCAGGGTAAGCACTCAGTGAGTGATTGACCTCAGGGTGGGGTTCATGCTCCAAGGGTCTGCACATATAATGCCTTTGTTGTTTCAGACCCCAGGGCAGGTATCCATTTTGGCTTTCATCCAGAGAGGAGCTAGTCCAGAAATCGAGGTTGAGAGCCAGGCCAGTCAGGCAGGAGCCATCGGTTAAACAATTGACATTCATCAGCTGACAGTTGAGTCCTAAAGAAGTCAGCAAACTCATCTAAAAAGTCAATCATCCAGAATTTCTCAAGTCTCTTTTCTCACCCAGTCATGCCCAGACACATGACCTTGAGAGGTCCCTTATCTTGCTACAAATTATTACCAGGAAAATCTATGGCCAATTAAACAAGCAAATGTTTCTCTTGCACTTTTTTACTTTCACTCTCTTAAATAAGCTCGGACCTGACCTGCGGGAGAAGATGCTGGCCTTTTGCCTGTTCTCTTCATCAGACTCAACATTTCCTCCACAGCACAGATGCCAGGACTTAGTTATTAAATCAGCAAAACCCAAATGCTCCCAAGATGAACTCCTGATGATGCGATAATAGCAATTACCCTGGAGAATTCCAAATGGTGCAAATCACCAGAGGAAATGTCACCAGCAGCAAGCATACTGGCTAAAACAACCAAACAGGTAATTTGCTGGGTTATCACTCAGGCACTAAACATGAACGTAGCAGGGCTCTAGAAACCAACAGTAACCAGCAAAAAAACCTTCTCCATCTTAGCCAGGTAAAGTCCCAGAAATGCAGAACATCTTTGGTCTGTACATTCTTAACTCCTTCTGCACATATTTGACCAGTATAAAAGAATACATAGAAAAGGCTGGGTATGAGGTGGAATGGATGGGGGCTAGAACTTCTGTTCTGTTTATCCTTACCCAAACTTTTCCTGTAGAGCAGGCAGGGTATACAGCCTACTCCTCACTGTGTCCCCATCTCTCAAGAGTATCCTGAGCCTTCAAAAGGCTAATGGAAAATAATTATATGGAGAAACTATGCATAGATTTCAAATATGTTCTGTACAACAATTTATACTTTAATTCCATTTTTCCAGAACTTTCTGAAGTCCCTTCATATTTGTTTCTCTGTCCTTTCAGCTTCTGCTTGTCTTATTCTCTCTGCTTGTTTTTTTTCCTTTCTCCTTCTCTCTCCTCCCTTTTCTGGAGTGGGTCTCTTGTGACATTTGCACTTCAATTCATGTGTCCTTATCCTCCTCACATCAGGAAGTTCTTCCTAAACCTTAGCCAGTCTTGTGGGCATTTTCCTGACCTTTGCCCAGTTTTGGGGGTGTCTGAGCACTTTTGACCCCTCAAAGGGTTTGTGCATGCTCTGAGTATCCAAGTCTGGTCTTCAGGAATGGACAGGCTCCCCCAGCAAGAAAACTCAGGGCAGCCTTGTGTTGCTGCCAGCACACAAAACAGCTCTGTGTTAATGAGAAGAACATACCTCTTTCTTAAGGCAGATACATCTTCACTGTAGGACTTCAGCGCTATTTGCCCCCTTGGCCGGGGAAGTCAGAACCAACAGGATCTATTTATCTGAGCATGGGAACCCAGAGGGGATCATAAATAGGTCCCTCCCATTGCTGCAGAGAGGCCAGGGATCATTCACACATATTAGCTACCTGGGAAGCTGGATTTTTACTCAGACTCCTGGCCCAGCCCCCAGGAATGTTCCAGCAGGTCTGACCTAGAGCCTTGACCCATGCTCCCAAGATGATTTTGAGAGTCCCTGGTTCCTCAGAGTAACAGCCTACACCCTCAAATAAGTGCATTAGTATTTGCTTTATATACGTAATACTGAAAATTGAGATATTAAGTAATAGAAGGAAATAATTTAATAAAGCTAAAATAAATAGAAACTACATTATTTTCTTCCTGTCTTCCAAATTCTGCTTCTAACTCTGAGTATATGCTCCCCACTTTAGAGGCCACGGTCATGGGGACTGAGAGAGGAGATTTCACCTTTGAGAACAGGAAGGCATCACCCTTTGTTGGACAATGCCCAACTTGGCCTGCCTCACTTGGTCCTGCCCTCTTCCTCTCTAGCCCTAATCAACAATGCTGATTCTCAGGTGAGAACCCAGTCCTTGAGGTCAGAGTGAGACCTCAAGGTTTCCCTTCCCTCCAGCGTGAATTCCTCATGATTTCAGACCCCTGATAGGCTGAGGGGAAAGCTGTGGTGGGTTCTGGCTGGACACATCCTGACTTTCAGGATCAAGTCAGCCAATGCTGCAGACCCATGTTCCATGTTTTGCCTCTGCTGTGGAGTGTGTGAACACTTCTCTGTAATGTTTAGCCTCAGCCAAGATGCTGTGAATCAGGCCTGCACTGATTTAGTGACAGATTATATTTCTGGTGACATGCTTCCTCACCTGTAAAATGAGAGGGTCCAACTGATGGATTGCTAAGACCTTTCTAGCTCTGAAAGTGAGGTTCTGAACCCTGGCAGCCCTGTTCATGAGTGGAGAACTAAGCAGCAGCACGTAGAAAATATCACACAAAGGGAGAAAACAGAGCAGTGAATTCAGTCTTTCTGCCAGCTCTTCTGTCCTAGAGAAAGGCCCGCAAGAGTCCTGGGCACCCAAAAAAGGACAAGATGTCCCTTGACCTCAACCCTTCAAGCAAGTTCAACAACCCCGACTCTCCTAGAACAAACTGTTCTTGAGTAATTCTTTTCTTAACCTCATTTATTTCTAAAGAGACAGGATTGACCTATATGATCACTATGGAGCTGACCATGGATGTGGTCTAAAATGGATTTTTAATAAGTGAGGACTGGACCAGCAGGTGGTTAAGGAGCTTAAGGCAGCTAGATCCCACATGGCCAACTCTGCAGTTCAAATCCCAGATCGGGTGGCTCAAAAATCACACTGGACATGTGTGTCCACAATCCTGAGAGAGGAATGAAGGAGAAGGGATTGTGGCATGGCCATCACCCTTGGCAAGTGAGTCTCATTTTCACTCTCTGTCTCTTTCCAGGGATAGCATGTGCCACACAGCAAAACTTACCAAAAGGAAATTAAAAAAAAAAAGAAAAGAAAAGAAAAAGAAAATGAGGGCTGCAGTGCTGGCCCCACAGTGAAATCCTGGAGCTGGATCTTCTGTGGCCCATTATGATTCCAATCTAGTCCCAACTGGTGGCCAAAGACATGTGTGAATACTCCTAAATCCTGAAGGATGGAAAAATAGAGGAGCAGGGCAAGAGGCCACCTGTGTAGCACCTGGAAGCTCCTGAGGCAGTGTGTGCTCCATCCCACAGAACAGAGACACACATTCTGGTACGGGCAGATCCAAGTTTATTTCTTATCGCAAGCTGAAATAAACAATGCTCAAAAGCCATTGTGCGTAAAGAAACTTGGGTGGCATGTGGAGCTAACATGGGCTTAGAATCAGCCAGAACCAGGTATGAGTCCTGGCTCTGCTGCTCTCAAGCTGCGTGACCTTGGGCAGACTATTCAACCCACCTGAACCTGACTTCCTCCCATGTAAGAAGAGAGATAGTGATGCCGACTGTGTCAATTTAGCCTGGGGACTAAAAGCAGTCATTGAGAAATGGCCGCAAATGGGGATGCTCCCTAGGAACAGCATGAATATTGCTCTATCTCTGTCACAACAGGAATTATTTGCCAAGGACAGGCAGCCCCTCTAGCACAGGGCTGGGGAGGAGTTGAACTGGTCTCTGTACACATTACTGTGATGTAGATGGCCCTTCTTTCTTCTCCATCCTGTTCACCTAGCTTTTGGTTACCGTGTTTCTTCTGCAGGCAATTATTGATGGAATGATTTATAAATTACAAGGTGTTTATTGCTTCTGGAGAAAGCATAGGCCAGTTATCAACAGAATTTACTGATAAATTAAGTAGTAAGAAGGATTAAAGCCCAAGGAAGAAACCAGAGTGGGAGGAGATTGGGTAGCCTGAGGCTGGTGTGTTTCCCATATAATTCCCATGTGTTTTGCAGGCTGCGGCAGCTCCTGAAAGCAAGGGGCCTGCTCTAGCTTGGAGGGAAGACTTCCTAGATACTTCCTCTGGGGCTGCAACTGTGGCTCAGGCTGAACCCATGTTCCCCTGGCCTTTACTCTGGAGACCCTGCCCTTTAGGTGTCTATCCAGAATCCAAGGCTGAATTGATAGCACAAAGCTACTTTATTTCTGCTTAACAAACACTAAAGTACTTTTAATACTCTTTTTCCTAATAAATCGAGCCAAACTGCTCAGACTCCCACTAATGGATCGCATCTTAATGGAGTATCTCTTTTTCCTTTTTCCTTAAAGTGATAGCTATAAAGTATCACCACAGTGTGTGAAGAGCCCAGTCTGAGTCCAGGCACAATAACTCGGGTGTGTCTTCCTCAGATATGGCTCTGGCTATCCCCTGCAGATGTAGCTCTTTCTCTGTAAACAGGTCAGCCTGATTTGTATGTATTCCCCCTCTGTGATTAAAAGCTGTTGATGCCACTGATGGCTGCCTGTGGCTCTGCTGAAAGACACTGATAATTATGCCTGGTGCTCAGCCTTGGAGAAGGCCCTGGGAGAAGACTGCTCTATTGGAGCCTGCAGCCCAGCTCATCTGCACTAAAATCAGGGGCTTTACTTACATCCCAGCCGCACACAGGCAAGCACATGCACGTAGGCACATGCACATACACTTACCCACACACTGGGGCAGCAGATCAGGCTTGTCACTGAAGCTTAAGAAACAGGTATAGGGGTCAAGGAAGCAAAACAAGAGTGCTATCTTGAAAGGGAAACAGGGGACCAGCAGTTGGTGTAATGGCTTTGTCACTGGACTTGACCACGGTTCGAGTCCTGGACCCGGTGGCTTAAACTCACGCCAGGTGCGTGTGCTTGTGTGCCCAAAATCCCGAGAGGAGAATGGAGGAGAAGGGATTGTGGTGTGGCCATCCCTCCCAGGGGGTGATTTCTCACTTTCTGTCTCTCTGTCTCTATCTTTCTGGCTAGCACACGTGCCCTATAGCAAAAAAAAAAAAAAAAAAAAAAAAAAAAAAAAAAAAAAACCCTCAAACTCAAGGGAAAAAAAAAAGGAAAAGAAAGGGAGATAGTTCAGCAGCTCAGAGGTCATCCTTCATGAAATGTAGAGACAGTACTGGGTACTAGTGGAGACAGAGTCTCAGAACTGAATTTCTCAGGTGGGGCTCTAGGCCAAGCACCACTTTCCAGTGGGGTGCCTCCAGCAAAATAGTCAACTTTTCCGCCCCTTAGTTTCTTTCATTGAAAACAGGGAGAGAAATATGTCCTGATGAAGACACCGTGAGTCAGCACACACAAGGAACCTAGAAGAAGGCCTCGCGAGGGTTCCACATAGCTTAGCTTCATCTTCATCTGCATCCTTATCCTCCTGTTCTCTTCATGCGCATCAGCATTTGTCATCACTGTCATCTCCCAGAAACAGAGCTGTACAGTAAAAGGAGCCCTGGACTAGGAAGGAGGAGGCACTGACATCCATTCATGAGCCTTTTCCCAAATAGGAGTCCACATAAGTTATAAACGTCCTCATGTTTTACCAAAATAAACACAATAAAATCCATGAGAAACTTTGGATGAAGAGAAAGTAAGAACAAGGCAGGTACACAGAATGTCCTTTGTGCAATCCTGTGGGGCTTCTGGAAGTGGCCGTTATTCTGGCTCTGAGCATCTTAAAAATACAATCAGTTGTAAAATTCCCTGACAAATGTAAGCCAGTTGCAAAATGAAGGAACCTTCCAAACAGAAGGTTGAATGAAAGAAGGCAGAAACAAAAGAACACACTCTGTGTCATTCCACTTATGTAAAGTACAGACAGGGCAAAACTAATCCATGCTGGAAGAGACCCGAGAGGGTCCTGGTAATGTTCTATTTCTTGGTTGGGTATATAAGTACCTGGGTGCATTCAGTTTGCAAGAATTTATCAAGCTATACATTTGTGATATGTGTGAGTATGGATATGAATGTCTATATGTGTGCGTATATACATATGTATTTCATGAAAAATTTAAAATGAAAGCAGTTGCTTGGTAGAATCATAGCTTTTTAATACACTGAAATATATCAGTAACTCTTTTTGTTAATGACAGAAATAACTAGCTAAGCTCTATTGCTGTGTATTCTGCATCGAGTACCCTGTGAACCACACGTTTCCCTCCCAGCCATCCTTCAAGGTGCTGTGGTATCCTGCTTTTACAGACAGGACAGCCAAGGCTTAGTGAGGTTGCAGAAAAGCCCTGCATCCCCACGTTCCTTCTTGATTTGATTCTGTCCCCCACCTCTGCAACTCCTACCCACATAGCACAGAATCTGGCACATAACTGATGCTCAATAAATGCTTGAGGGAGGAGGCAAAGAGAGCATGTCATTGCAATGTCACCACTCACCCTGTCTTGACATTTTGAAATCATTTTTGTCTCCCCTCTAATTCCTATTGCACTTATAGGCAGCACCAAATGGCACTTAATTGCTTTCTGTTACTAGGTCTAAAATGCTCTGTCAATCGGGCCTGTGCTTCCAAGCAGCACAATTGTTTGGCATGACTAAGGAATGAAGACCTATACTGCTGCTACCAATAGGAGAACGGCCTGGGTGGGAGAGGGAGGAGGGGAGGAAGCTAACCATGGCAGTGGTGATGGTAGTGATGGTGGTGGTAGGGAAGAGGCCGAGCTCCCTCCCACCTGCCCAAACCCTTAGTTCCTAACCCAGCACCTAGATGTAAAAGTGAACAAACGGCGCCAAAATGGACAGGTGTCCAACTTTCCCCAACCCCAGAGTCTTGCTTCTGTCTGTGACCCTTTCCTACCTTATAAAGAGTTTTTGTGTCAACAAATAGCCTGATTCATGGCCAATTTACCACTAAATTTATACTCTCCTTGCCCAAATGCCCGTTTCAACTTTAGTTGACACCAAAAAAAGCAGCAGATGGAGTCCTAAGGAGACTTCACCCTCTTCAGGTCCCAGGAGCTCTTTGGGTCTCCCTTTGGGATTTTTGGGGACATTGTTTTCCATCCCCCTGGGAGGAGCATGTCTTTCTGCCACTGCTTGTGTTACACCAAGTCAAATTTCAATGAATAATAAATTACAATAATAATAACTTGAGGAAATTTATGCCCTTGCATCAACTAGGTCCACAACAGAAAGGGAAAACTCACTATAAATTACACCCTGGGACTAGTGAGTGAGTAATGCAGGCGTCTTTCCCCAGAGACCTCCAAATCAACTCATTTAAATTAATAAATCCCACTTTCCTCTGTGCCTGAATAATAGGCTTATTTATATGTCTCAGAATTGGCCAAAATATCCGAGAGAGGAAATAGAGCAATTAGAGTTCCTTCGTTACACAGAGAGGTTTCCAAGACACTGTCTGAGCTTGCTAACTGTTAATTTAGCTGAATATAGGAAAGGAAAGAATGAATTCAATCTGACAAATGCATTGCTGCTAAATCTCCATGCTGCCACATAACCAAAGTGGCCGACTTTTCCCCTTTTCAGTTGCTTCTTTTGCCTTTTCTGGGTATAGGTCTGAAACTCTAATGCACACTGGTCTTTATTTTAAAAGTTGTTGCAGAGTATAAGATGAGACAATTGAGTTTTTTTCCTGACAGCTCCCTCTACAGAGATCCCTTGCACTGAGGCTTGAAATTTTAAATATTTAACAAAATGCAAGCAGTGGCACTGACCAGTGGGATGGGTCTGGCCCACGGGGCCCTATAGTGCCAGTGTTAACTCTTTTCAGTATCTTAGGGTGGCCAATGTGGGGGAAGATCCAGGGACAGTCGGGGAAGAGCTCCTGGAGGGCTCAGAACAACAGATCCTTCCCAATAAGATGAAAGCATTTTAATAATTCAACAGTACAGAAAACTGAATATCAGGCCTTCTTCTGCTAGGGTTCTGAACAGCTACTGGTGAGAAGGTTCTAATCTGCTTTTTGTCATTTCTGTTCTCTTCTTTCTAATCTTATTTTCCAGTCTATGCCTAATCTATCATGCTCACCCTAGCTCACAGTTACGGCACAATGTAATCCCAATGCTAACTACCCAGAGTTAGTGCACTCTACAGGTTAAAGGCATCATTTTTCAGGTCACCAGGTGGCGTGGTGTTTAAAGCACTGGACCCCCACATGGCTGACCACAGTTCACATCCCTCACCTGGTGATTTGGTCTCTTACTTTGTCTCGCTCTCTTTCGCTCACTCACTCACTGTCACTCTCAGGTGAGTGCACATGCCCTACAGCAAAATAAATAAAAATAATATATAAATTAAATTAATTATTCTTTTAAAAAAATAGCTTCATTTTCCATAAGACTGCCTTCACTTGAGATACCAGGTACAAAGCCCTCAGGACACC